TATACGACGTAATTAGCTGACGGCTTTGTGCCAGCCGATGCCGCCCCGGGGGTGCCATGGCATGCTATGAGCCTATGATCGTCGCTGCGCGGGTTAAATACTATGTTTTAAGGTGTGATTCTCGACTTCCACGCCTCGGCGACCAGACAGCCCGGGGCCTGTGCCCCGTATACCCGCCATTCGGATCGCTGTAGCTGGTACGTACCACTTCACGGAATTCGTGACGACACGAGGGCAGAATGTTATCCAAAATGGCCGCTGCGGTACCACGTCCGCCATGATCGCTCAGTCTTTTATCAGTACGGCCAGGCTCAGCTGACGGTGCATCGTGGACCGCATTTTAATACCGGTACCTAATAAATGCGTCGTCTGCTAAACAACTTATATCCACGTAATTCTATCCTGACTGGCAGATTTCCAATTAATCAAGGGTTCGTGAGTCATATACTATGATATAGCTGCAACATTTCACGCGCTACGGTTGCACATTCGGTAGAAGCATGAAACCGAGAAGAGGCAGCAACGTCTGTCGCAGCGAGCGGCGCCCCTCCTCATTTTCTTATTCAGTGGCTTCTTTAGCAGTCGCAGTGCTTCGGCCAAAATCTCCAATACGTTGCGGTGAGCATGAGTTTACCAACCTTGGCGGAGTCGGACGAAGTTGGGCAGTCTGTGGGGCTGGAAAATATCTGCAACCTTACTGTGGGTCCGCATGAATCCAAGCACTTCAAGAAACGGGCCTTCTCTTCTAGCCAGCTTCCCTGGAGCACTGGGATCTTCCACTCTGCGGCGGTCGGCGGTCAGCCGCAGTTCTTGAAGTGGGTGTACTCTTTGCAGCGCGGAACAATATGTGCGGCGGCAGCTCAAAAGGGCTCCCTTGCCGTGTTGCGATGGGCGCGCGCGCAAGGCTGCCCGTGGGATGCTGACGTGTGCATCGAAGCGGCCAAGAAGGGGCACTTGGCAATCCTACAGTGGGCGCGCTCCGAAGGGTGTCCCTGGAACGCTGAGGTTTGCTCTGCGGCGTTTTGGAAACGTCACTTTGGGGTCTTACAGTGGGCGTTGGTTCACAAGTGCCCTTTTGATAACACACTTCTGGATCATGCGGCGATGTCGGGCCAGCTGGCAGTGCTTCAATGGGCGCACAATGCCGGCGCGCGGCAAAGGGAGTTCTTGTGCGAGATGGCAGCAGCCGGAGGGGATCTGAGAATGCTGAAGTGGGCACGGTCTGCTGGCTATTCTTGGGACGCGGACCTGATGTGTCGGAACGCTGTCCGAAGCGGTAACTTGGAAGTGCTTCAGTGGGTACATTCGCAGGGCTGTCCGCTAACAAGAAGGGCGTGCAATCATGCGGCGGAAGAGGGCCCCTTAGACATGATGCGGTATATGCGAACACAGGGCTGTTCTTGGGACGGAGATGTGATGCAGCACGCCGCAGAGGGGGGGCAGTTGGCAATGGTGTTATGGATGTGTAAAGAACCAGAGCCATGTCCGTTTCCTAGTAGCATTGCCTGGCTCAGAAAACGGCTTAGAGACCGGACAGAGATAAGCGCGGCTTGCGCGAGAATTGTGTTTGTCAAGGGCGGCTGTCGGCTCACTGAAGCAGAGATGGGTGCTGCTCGGAACCTGATGAAGAGTCAAGTTACGCTAGTCCTCTGCCTCAGGGAGTTGGGTCTGGGTGCCGAGTTGGCAGCGGTTATTGGGAAGCTTGCACACATGCCATGGTTGTAGCGTATCTATGACGTCACTTGAGCAGACAGTGCAACATTTCTCCGTTGTAGCCTTTGATCTAGCCACGATCTCGTTGATGTTGCAATGGGTGCCTGTCTAGGGACTACCACTTCGTTTAGAGGCTCCCTCCTGTCATTCAGGTGAACAATCTAACGTTGCCACTTCATAGTTCTGCTAGAATTCTGTGGTACAGGCATCTTAATCATTCAGACCGTATTTACTAGCACACCTAATCTGCCGTGAATGTGACTTCGAGCTACGAATGGAACCCAATCACCGCCACGACAGGCAAGCACAGTCATTGCAAAGGTGTGTTCAAGCCCGTTTCATTTGCTGGGCGTTGCATGCATAGTTTGGACATACGAAATACGCGTATTTTTCAGAGGGGTCGAAAATCACGTACTTTTCCGTATTTTAAAAAGCGAAAATGAAAATACGGCAAAAATACGCCACGTGTTTTTGGAACGTGACCATGTTTTTGCTTAAAATAGTCTAATTGGGACAACTTACTTGGTGAATTGCCTCCTAAACAAGTCAACACCATCCTTTTAGAGTCAGAGCGCTAAGAGAACCCAAAAAATTGGCTTATTTGTCGCTTTTTGCGCGAAAATGGCACCGCAGTCTTTGAAGTTGAAAAAAGGCCGTATTTTTGAAGTATTTTTGGGAAGACGCCCAAATACGTAAAATAAGCGTATTTTTGAAGCAAAATGGCCGTATGTCCAAACTATGGTTGCATGTCGCTTGATTTGGATTCCAATCCCACATATATGACTTAGCCGAGCTAGACTGCTGCAGGAATGAAGAAGTTGAACACTGTGTATGACAGGCATGTGGTAGGGGCGCTCCTAGAGTACTGTGGCTTGAACCACTGTTCAGTGCACCTATACGCCGCCTAGGCATAACCCCAAAATCTGCACCGAGATGCAGATTTTGGGGTTATGCCTAGGCGGCGTATAGGTGCACTGACTGCACACTGCATTCTGGTGTACTCTTGACGCCGAACCCGTTGATCAAAAAAGTGTACGTGCTTCAGAAGCTTGAGAGTCGGGAAGAGACCATGGACAGCTCATGCATCCACCGCCTGATCTTGCATCTTAAGTAACTGACCGCAAAGCTAGAATTTCTCCCGCCCGGAATGTCAGTGGGTGGATCTTGGGGTTAGACTCAAAGGACTAAAGGAGCATCGATCTATATGGTCTCTCACCATAATTGCCCATATAGTGTCTTCTCAAAAAGGGCGTACCAAATCCAGAGGTGCTAGAAAAGATACTTGTAATTTCAAAGTTAGAGGAGGCAAAAGACGAAGAAGGCGAAAACCTTAGGACGACGTGTATTCCATTCAAAGGTCTTTCGACAATTTCACAGGGAATTTCCGCCGCTAACCAGACTCTCTAACCAGGCCCTAACCAAACCGTAACCATAGTACTCTGGTTAGCGGCTCTAACCAGGTCTGGTTAGAGCCTGGTGAGCTCGTTAACCATACTTCGGAGGCTTAACCAGACTCTCGACGGCTTGGTTATTAGCGACCAGAGTCTGGTTGGCTGCGACCAGACTCTGGTCGCGTACCACCAGACCCTGGTTATCCAGAACCATCATGCGGTCATTCGTAACCATGCTGCAGGGGGCCCTGGTTAACCGGGATCAGGATATGGTTCTTCGTAACCAGAGTCCGGTCCCAGCTAACCAGAGTCCGGTCCCTCCTAACCAGAGTCTGGTTCAAACACGACCAGACTCTGGTTCGAATGCATTTATGGCTGACACGCGATCACGCAATCATATCCTGGTCGATGCAACTGTCGCGCATGAATGATGGTCAAAGTATTTGGATAACTACACACTTTGAACGGCACAAAGCGCACGGTAGTTCATGGAGAGCACGACCACTGTCATCTTTCCAAGGCAGGGACTACGCTGCCAAAAGTAAGCCCTTTATATATGTACACCTGGCGCCGCCCCCTGGTAATCTATGGCTCCTACACAATGCTCATCCGAGTCTAGTTATGTACCTTGACGCCTCCTTACAGTCCTTACACAGAGAATTTTTACAAGCCCCTCTATATAGTTGACGCCGCCGCCCTCTCCTCCTGGGAGCAAAAAGTCTTTATGCAGGCCCCTATGTACAATTGACGCCGTCGCTTCCTCCCCTCCGTGCCGCTCCGTCGCGCGAGCAGCGCTCCTGGTATGTTTCACTTCTTGTTCGAGTCGCCTGAACACAAACGCAGAGATATGTAAGAAACCCTCTCTTTTCAGGTTCGAAAATCTGTGTAGGAAGCTACAGAGCGTTCGTTTATAGTAAGCAAAACAGATAACACGGTTGCAAAATCTCAAGGCTCCGGCGACTTCCAACGAGAGGCTCTCAAAGCGAGTCGCAAAGACGGGCAAGAGGAGGTGACGTCAGCAAGTCCAGGATGGTCAAAGAATGCCTCTCACAATTCAGCAGAGCACGGACCGGGGTCACTGATCTGAATCGAACGGAAGTCACTGAACGGGGCCACTGTCCTAGAAAGAAGATTCTGGACCGTTCTCCTTTAGTATTTGTCTGTGACACATGGCCAGCTCTTTCGCTTTTACAGCATACATCTGAGCCAGCCTCAAAGAAAACTGAAGGCGAAATGTCCATAAGCCGTCCATCAAATCATCTGCTTCGAGGGAGTGGTGAAGTATAGCTGCTCATGCTTGTAAACGGGATGACACAGCCTCAGCGAACTAGACTGGCAAGCTTTGTTGAAGACGTGCAAAGTTGATGCGAAAACAATCTGAGAAGCGCCTTTACTCACACAGTCTCACTCAAAACTCAGAAACGAAAAAGCACGAAGTCGAAGTCCAGGAAGAGAGAAAGACGAAGAGAGAAAGACGGCGCGGAGAAGATCGAAACTTGGAGAAGATCGAAACTGGAAAAGTGGCTCACCCGTGCGCGCAACTGCCTTCTTGCCCCCCCGCGGCTGCATCTTTCCCTCGCGGCGGCCCGGCAGGATCATGTGCTCCAGACCCATGAGCTTCATCAGGTGCACGTACAGCTTGCGCCCCAGCCCCCGCCGGCCGGGCGAGTCGAAGATCCCATAGAGCCCGTCGCACGCATCCTGCCGCCAGGCGGCGTCCTGGCCCCGACCGCGCTTCTTCCCCTTCCTCCCCCTCCCCCTTCCCCTCCTCTGTGCCAACCCCAGTAGGGTGGGCAACCGACTTTTCGTCTTCCTTTTCTTTAGACCCGGCCTTGTTTTTGCCGCCCTCCTCGTTTCGTCTGCCGGTACCCCCGCTTCTGTTCGCTTCTGCTCTGGCGGGCCCTGCGACCGTGGCTGCGCGCGCGGCTTCTTCAGCCCTGACTGGGACCGCGCTTGCGCATGTGACTCTCTGCGCGGATCCTTCGCCTCTGACCGCGACCGCGTTTGCTCATGCGGGCCGCTTCTCTCCGACTCCAACCGTGTCTGCGACCGTGTCTGCATCTGAGATTGCGGGAGCCGCCCGTCCGACTGCGCCTGCGACCGCGATGGCACACGCAGCAGTCGTGGTGTGCCCAACTGCGTCTGCACACGCGGCCCAATTGGCTGTGCACGTGGCTCGGCCGGCTCACGTGGCTGCTGACGTGGCTGCGCACCCGACCTGCTCCGGCGACCGAGGCTGCGCAGGCAGCCCGCCCAGATGTGGCTGCGCACACGATCCGACCGTCTGCGACTGCAACCGCGTATCCGCACGCGTTCCGCCCGACTGCGCCCGCGCACCTCGCGGCGACTCCGACTCCCCCTCTCCCGCTGCGCACGACTTATTCCGCCCCTCCGCATCACTCGGCTTACACAACTCATAACCAGGCTTCTCCCCCGCTGGCTTGCTTTCCTCTCCACTCCGTTTCTTCATTGCTCCCCCCCCCTTTCTGCGCTTCCGTTTCTTCGAATCCTGCGGTGCTCTCACCACCGCCCCGGCCCCCTCCGACTTCTTTTGGCTTTGATTCGCGTACATGTGCTCGTCCCCGTTTGGCCCCCCGCTGTGGAACGCCTGGTCTAGAACCGTCATCTGCTTCCCCCCCGCTTCATGCCGCTTCAAGGTAGTTCCAAGGGCACTCAAACCGAACCGCTCCTGGATGTCCTCCCACTCAGGAGTCGTCAGCAGATCCTTGTGCACGTACGTTTTGAACTTGTCGTTCCTTTTGGAGCCTTTTCCTGGCTGCAGGAGAGAGAAAGAGGTGTTTGCGAGAAGAATATTCTAAGAACAAGAGAAAATTTGCTCAAGGGAACCCAACGGACTTGTTCGTTGGAGCGCCGTGAGCCGCTGAATGCTCGTAAGAGCAGTGACAAGACACATGGTTGAAAAATCGCCTTAAAAGATCTGCTGTAACACATTACTGACCAGCGCTACTTCACTGGCTAGCGCTCTTGAGATGTCACAACACATGACGTCAGATGATCGAGGGGACTGATGGAAGGGACTGAACATTTGCCTCTAGCTGCTTGACTTTGACACGATACTGTTGAATGACTGAGTTGCTCAGCTGCTTGAGAACCAGCTGCACGACCAAACTGAGGGCCAACGCCAGCCTTCACTTTGGCGTGGTGACTCGTTGCGAAACAAGTTTCTACTTGCTTCACGAAGCTATGTGATTCGGACAAAGCTCGTGAGGAGTCACAAATGACGATGAAAGCTGGTACTGTACAAAAGACCACATTACTCCAATTGGAAGCGAGCCTGACCCACATAAGACGAGTCTCGCCTCTTGCTTCACCCTTGCAGGTTTTGAAATAGTCCAAATTTCGTGCCACCTTCAATGATCGCTTCTCTTCAAGCCTCTTGATCAAGACCCACGTCAGAATACCCTCAGAATCCGGCCACCCGGCATGGCGCCTGAGTTTATCCTGTAGATTTAGATAGCCAGCATGTAAGCTGCTCAAGTTGGCTTCCCATCACGGATCCTTGTCGTCCGTTCGATGAGATGCATACAGATCGACGGTCGTGCCTGAGCGCAGCCTGAGAATGTCGATATATGATCGACGGCCAGGCCTGGGTTTTCAAGGATCCTTACAAAGTTCTCCCCCAGGCCAAAGCTTAGGAAGCGCATTGAAGGCTGAAGCAAAATGGGGACGCTTCCATCTCCTCATCAATCTGGGGCTCACAGCAAACGCCCTTATAAGTGATAGGTAGATGTATACATAGCGAGCAGCCGAAACCTTATCGAAGTTGCTAAGTGTGCAAAGCCCTGAAGAGGTCAGATAAACAACCAAGCTACTTAAACCGGTATATGGTGGCATTGGTGCACTCCGGTTACAGAGAGAGTAGAATGTGCTACATATCACACGCATCTGGGACTAGCATGATTGTGCTGATTCGCATCAGCTCTGCTCCAATGAATATGTGACTGTGGACGATGAAGCTCAAAGATGAGCGCCCAGGCAAGTGCTCCGCTTGTGGTGGACCGACCAACATGGAGAGCGGTCTTACGAAAGCTGCGCCTGCTTATGCAAGTCCAAGCACCCGGCAGATGCGCCTCTTCAGGTTTCTTCTAGTCTTCTTGGACTGCATTTTCATTGGAATGCAGGTGAGTTTGCAGAACCAACTGTGTATCTTGACGTTGATTGAGTGAGTGGTTTGACCAATAAGTGCTGTGGGGTGGTGTGCTTACATTCACCCTTGAGAAGGAACCAGGAAATTTTAATCCTGATGCTGCTCCTCCTGGCTTTATGTGATCTGTTGACTGCTGCAGAATAGAAAGCCACTCAGTCCCACAGCATTGCTCCCGGTCAATTGAACCGCTGTTCCTTGAGCAGGATCTGAAGGGTGATGCACATGGCCCCTTTTTCAGACTCCATTTCATTTGACAGTTTCAGCTTTCTCCATACTTTGTAAACTGTTGAAGGTGGGGACACTTTTGCAGCCCATCCTGGTGTACATGTGCAAAGATGCAGACGGGACGTTCCCGTTCAACCCAGTTTCTGTCAACTTTCTGACAGAGGTGACCAAGACAACGTTTGCTGTGGGGATGCTACTCACTCAGGTGATTTGATCAGTGTTCCTTTACCTGGTGATACTTCTGAAGAGCTGATATCTCAGACAAAACTTCTGCTTGTGCGTGTCAGCATGTCGCTTCGCAGAATGTTTGGCCTTTCCTCCTATCTGAGTTCAGACTTTCAAATGTTGCTTGTCCAACTTTCTGACATATTGCTCCCACAGGCGAGGAGGCAGACAAGGGGGGAGAGGTCACTGCTTTCAAAACAAGTGGTCGTACAAGCTGCTCGAGCCAACTACCTTTTGGCTGTTCCCGCGGGTCTCTTCGCTGTAAATAATTACTTGAAGTTTGTCATGCAAGTAAGGAAACATATTACCTCGGCGTCAGCACTTGTGGCTCTTACTATCTCCAACTTCCTTCTGCGACTGCCATTCTGCCTGACGGGGGGTTCTTGTCAATCAACCGACCATGGGTTAATTTTTTGGAAAGCCGGTTGGGATACTGGGAAGAAGCAAGCAATTGAGGGGACCGAAATCTGTTTGGCTGCTCTTATCTGGGAGGGCTTCTTGGAGCTTTGGTAATCGAAGCTGAGATTCTACAAGCAAGGCAAGATGCTTATTAAAAGGTTGTTGGAATCCATTGTGTTTGTTCACAAGGTTTAGGAGTCTGTAAACTTGTGCAACTCAGTGCCGAGCCTTCTCTCACATGAAATCCTGCATAGGGTGGAACCGAATTGAGCACTGATGTGCAGATCTCACTCACTGTGATCTACTGTACTGCAGCTTTATTTCAAGCCAGCAACTGTCAAGATGTTGGGCAACTTGAAGGTGAGAGGTTTATTATCACGCTCTTGTTTCGTGATCTGAATTCCGCACTCCTCTAAGAGAGCTGTCATGCATCATGTCAAGAAAGCTCCATGGAAATAGTGATGAGCGTTGAGATTTTCGCCTGTTTCAGCATGTCCAGTTGATCCGACAAAGAAGGGACAGGCTTGTAGGTACTGCCATAAAGCCCGGAGAAGCATCTATTCGTTGTTTCAGTTGTTCAGTCAAGGACCACCCTCAGACAGGCGGCATGATTTTGATGCAGATATTGGTCATAGCCCTCCTCCTCAAGCTAGTCATGCGGCGGCGCTTCTCCACGTTGCAATGGGAGGCGCTTTGCCTACTACTGATAGGAATAAGCGTTAACCAGATACCAACGCAGTCCAACTCCGACGGTCCAGTGCAAGCACTGCCGCTTGCGGGGTACCTGTGCACGCTACTAACGGTGAGTCGAACCTTCTTGGAGGCCGTTCCGGCTGCCCGTGCACACTTTTAATGTCCGTTTAATAGAATTCGGTTCAAAACCCAGCGGCTAGAAGCTGGGGTTCATTCTCAACTGCAATGTCGCAGGCAAATGCGAAAGCTGCTGCAAGACTCTGAAGGCTTTGACTCCGTGAAGATATCGACGGCTTTTTTTTGCAGTTGACAATCCCTTCCACGGCCAGTGTATATAACGAGTATACCTTGAAAAAGAACTTCGAAACCAGCGTTCATCTACAGGTAAGAGTTCCTTGACTTCTAGCTGTTGCGGTTGAAACGTTGGTTCCCGTCTTGCCTCCAGTCTTAGCTACGTCGAACGAGTCCGTACAACTGACAGGTGGCGTTCCCGCGTTTTGGCGTGCCCTCGTGTCCCTGACGTGATGGACACTGCTTCGCCCTTGAGTTTCAAAGCAACATAAGAACGATGATGTATTGCGCCGCACTGGCAACAACTTTGGCCCTTCGGCTATGTACTGGCCCCCTGCGTTCGTCTACCCTTGAGCACGCGACAACCCTTGCTTGACTGTCTTCGTGCAGAATCTGTTCCTGTACAGTTACGGCCTGGCCTTTAACCTGCTGGGTCTCGTTGCGTTCGTGCTAGCCAAGCCGCGCGACGGGCGGAGCGTGTTTGCGGGCCACAGCGCCATGACCATGCTGCTGGTCGCCAACAACGCCATGCAGGGCATCCTCGGGTCCTTCTTCTTCAAATACGCCGGTGAGGGCCCGCCCTGTTCCATACCTCTTTCGCGGTTTTGAGATACTTAGCTCTACCATCTGAAGTTGAAACAGAATTCTATACTCACATTGCATCCGCTCCGCACCTGAAGCTACCCTGAAGCCACCGCCTGATCAATCCGTCCCAGAATGGTGACCTTGTTATCCTGTGGCGGAATTTCCCTCAGTTCGAGACCAGCCTTCACCGCGGTGCCTTGCCTTCCGTTCGTCTGGACACCGACCATCCATATCAGGACTGGAGCGCCCTTGCTTGCATCTTTTCGTGCTTGCAAAAGCGTAGCACTTTTGGCTCAATAAGTGTGGCACGGTTTGTTACCTTGACCACCGTAAACGGGCCTGCTTCGAGCGCAAGCGGAGAATAGCCCCAAAGACTGGCCCTGCCATTGACTCTCCTCCAAGAGTTCCCTCACAATGAGCTACGTGGACTTCTTTCACTGCCTTCCCCCTTTCTGACTGCTACAATACTTTTTCCGTCGCAGACACCATCCTGAAAAAGTACTCATCCACAATCGCCACCATCGTGACGGGACTGGCATCAGCCGCTCTCTTCGGTCACACGCTCACCATCAACTTCGTCCTTGGAATATCGATCGTCTTCATCTCAATGCACCAGGTAAACAAGAATACTCTTCAGCTAGTGCCACGTGTCGTCCAAGCTGGCACCTGAGCCGGTCTCCCAGCTCTTGAGAAAGTTGTATGCATCCTCCCGCTTTCACGTACGAATGGCTGTTTCTTATTGCACATACGGTACACGCAAGCGACGGGCTTGTGAAGTTTGCAGTCGCAGCTGATGAGATTCTGTGAGGAGTACACCACCAGAACGTGACTGCATGATCTTTGAAATATCAGAAGACAAGAACAACGACGATTGCCCTAACGTAGAAAGTTCGACGGGACTGACTGCGGTCGGACCGGTGCAGTTCTTCTCCACGATCCCCCCTAGCAAGGCTAAGGTGGCGCCAGAGCCGCATGCGGCGGACGGGCTCCGTTTCTCGAGCGTTGCGATGAACGGGTAAGATCCACTGCCAGCTGCTGCCTTCAGACATTTCTTCTGGGGAGTTGCTTTGACGCATCCGTGGCTTGAGGCGGACAGGCTAGAGTCGAAAGTTAGGCGGTTCCTTTCGGCCTCAGTTGTCGAGATGGGGCGCGAGCATTACAGACGTGGCCTTCATCTTCACAAGCCAGATTTTGGGGCGTAGCGTTGATTGATGATGGGCTTTCATTGGGACCCCGTCAGATCATTCATATGTTCTCTTGACTGTTGCATAGGAGGGTCGTTCCGCGAATAAGAATTCCAGTTCCGCTTTTGAGAGATTTGCCGAGGAAGTCGGTGCAAGGAGTCGGGTAAAGATGGCACTACAAAGAGCTGTATGTCTGTGCATATAGTGCAAAAATCCTCAATCCACAATCTGACCGGTGCAATTGCTTTCTATACAGATCCGCGGACAAGGACGTAGCTCTTATGAACATGTCAGCGGGCGCTGAAGAGCAGGTGAGGACGCGCCGCCTTTCCGTGAATCAACGGATGGTATCAGTGCTCCTGCATAGTTGCTGGCTTCGTGGCTACGCTAAGTGTTGCCGTTAACGTTGCAAGCGGAGGTAAACTCTGAAGTCTGAGAGGACCATTCCCGGTGGCCTTAACGTTGGACTGACCAGGAGGTCTGTGCCCGGACAGATATTTGTGACGCACTTTTGCGGCAATCTAAGAAAGGCTTGCACTTTAACGACTTTTGGGGACATCTGAAGACGTGCCTTCCTCCTGCAGGTGCCTTTGATACACAGAAAAGACTCTGCGTCAATGTTGTTGCCTAGATAGCAGGCCTTCAGCGCCTCGCTGAAGCCGTCATTGCTCGCGTCCTAGAATTCGTAGAGAAGAGAAGCTAGAAGGATAAACGAGAAAATGCAAGATTCAAGCTCCTTCAGTCGGATCGTAAGAGTATGCCGATAAGTGAGAAACAAGTGCAACGTACACTCCTTATGAATCCTCAAGTATTTGGTGCAGAAAAGTGCATTGCGGATAGTTTTAGTTCAAGTCCTTCGTTGCGAGCTTCTGGCACGCTGTACGAGACAAGAGCTTTTTTTAGAAGATTCCGAGTCACATGCTCTTATTAGTACATGCAACAAACAAGTCTTTAATCACTCAAAAATTCACAAAACTCACGACAATTAAGGACTCTGATCAGTCTGGCTGCGCACTTGCTACAGCCGGCGGCCGTTACAATTCATAAGATTGTCAGTAAAGTTGATCAAGATTGACACGATAGGGTCGCACGGGAAGGTGTCCGGCTCACGTTGGACACAGCCTGCACCATATGGTCGCGGTTGCAGCATTATAGTCCCATGCATGAAGAATGATGACACATGCCAGCACATTGATATATAAGTTCCTTGTGCATCATCATGCTGTGCTTATGACTCCGCGGCGGCCTTTTACCTAGCTTGGAACTCCGGCCCGTTCCAGCAACCCCGGCCGGATGCGTGCGTAAACGCTTGCAATAAGCCAGTGAGTTTAAGTGACATCAGCTGCCAACCTACGTTCTCGCCGGGCCATTGCCGACGTAATCTATATTGATCGATCTGCTGAAAGCCGCAAGCTACCTAGATTCAAGGTAGGCCAAGCCATCCGATCGATCGGACTCTTTGCGTCTCTCCACACTCGCATCACCGTCGCTGCATGCAGGACCATACTGCTGGCAGACTCCTTCAAGAGGCTTGCAGTCTCGCCTGATGCTTGTTATCATCGATTTCCCGCGCATTATGATCCGGCCACCATGAATCATTAAGCATGCGAATTTTGACCGTAGGTGCTAGCCCAGTATTAGCGGACGGCGGCCCCTTTTTTGCCCGTAAAGACTGGAATCTCTACCAAGCTAATCTACACAACATCTGAGTATGAAAAACAGGCTCCCCTCAAGCAACCTGCGCCCATCGACTCCATACAACCGGACTTCCTTGGGCAAAGGACCGTGATCGGATCATGTATGCCGCTTTCAAAGACGCTTTAGGGCTTTTCACAGCAATGGCTACTCCCGGCTGCTTTCGTTATTTCGGGTCATGTACGGCCCAGTGCTTCTGCAGTCGGCTCTGCATGCCCCGCAGCTGCGCTCGAAAGTTCGAGATCTGCGGGAAGGAAAATCCAGTATCAACGACGGCCGCAAAGGGCAATACCAATCCGACCGTTCAGACTGAGCCAAAAATCCCCACAAAGCTGTGAACCTTGCAATGCAGTTGAGCGCAACCGGAAATTCAGGCTTTTTTTGTCGGACGAAGTGAACGGCAATTGTTCCTGGTGGGCCACACATCGAAATCGAAAAACGTAACCATGAAGTCAAAGACGTCCGTACACGCTCTTCGAACGATTTCATTCACAATCTTGACTTAATGTGCGACGCTCTCCTGGCATGGTCGAAGTCAGCTAAAAAATTTTAACAACAGATTTGGACCTGAGACTCTTCCGTTGGACTTGTCAAATCAAAGCACAACCTTTTCGCACGATATGGACATCAGCGAGCATAGAATCAGAGGACTGGCCAACGTCCTCTGCATTTCAATGAAACAAAAAAAACTGTACATGTCCGATTCCGCTTACCCAGACGTCGTACTCCGCTTCTGTTGCTGCCATCCCGTCAAGAAAGCTCCGTTTCAGATAGACAAGCCCAAGGAGCTGCCCACTGCCTGCCGCAACTCGCGCCTGCAAAACGAAGGTGCTTTCGTCAGACTTTGGCTGTGGAAATCATACACCTTGCAGCAACAGATGGACCAACGTATGCACTCTGCGAAGTCGTCGCAAGCATCCGATGCCGGATCTGTAAAGCCTGCTTCGCAAACCATCCTGAAACCGTAGGTTCGTGAGAAAGGCCCCTCGGGAGCCAGAATCGGACACACTGTTTTGACATTTACTCTTCGAATTCTGGCTGAAGTCTCGAGGGCACACTCATCTCCAGCGTTCGAACCTCCAAATATCGTCCACGAACTGTCAAGGGGCTTCCTCATCTGCTTAGATCTCGGCAGTAGAGTCGTCCCGTTGCCCATTACCGTGAACATACAGCATCGGCTCTTTTAAGTCCGAACCGGAACTGGACAACTCACCTCATCAGACTCAAACCCAAGTCCGTCGACTTCTTGCATTTTGCTAGTGGACGCCTCTAGTTCTTCTATGCGGACCTGGCCTGTGCTGACGTCAGCACAGGGTTCGATTTCGACTGACGATCTCCCGGACTGGTCAGAGCTCCCTACGGTTTGTAACCTCGTATCCTCCTCCTCACAAGAGCAGTATGCAGAAGTTTTTTGAAAAAACCCGGTTTTCAATGGAGTCTGCCACCTCTGCCGGCCTTTCCTTCCCTCTCTACTTTCACTGCCGCTGGAAACTACGGAACCAAAGCCAGGCGCCGAGGGTCGTGAAGAGGTTGCTGCTGACGCCATGCTCCAACACGTGCCTTTGTTTACTCCTCCTAAATCGAAGCCGTTTTCAGCCAAACCCCGACTCCTCGCCGTTTGGGTGCTCCATTCTGCTCCTCTGCTTTTCAAGAGCTGTCTCCCATGGTAATTGGCGGCAGTGCCAAGCTGACTCCGACCCAACAGCGTTTGGCCGTAAGCCCTGGCCAGTGTATTCAACTCCGGCCTATTCTGCACAGTAGTTGTAGCCTTTCGTGCCGTGCTCGAATCCCAGTGCGGCTTCCTTGCTGCCCTCTTCTGAGACTGGACCCGTTTCAGGTCGTATCGGCCGTCTCTATGCAAAGTCAAAACCAGCGCAGCCCATTTTTGGTTCCCTGTTTCTGCCGACCAATCAGCGATTGCCTCCTGTTCTTCTGCCCCCCCGTTTAGACGACTGTCAACATCAAACTTTTGTCCGTCAGCATCACGGGTGTTGGCATTCGTGAAGCACGGGGCGTGCCGCCACTCCCGCAGCATTGTCCGGAGGGCGGCCGCATGCGGCATCTCCGTTTTTGAATCCAATTGGCCGAAGCAAGTTGATGTGTGACTGCCAGCCCGAAACGACTGCTTATGTGGGCGACAATCGGCCATCACTGGTCAATTCCCACCGGATGGTCCAGAGTCTATCGGGCTTTAAAGTTGCAGCTTTTAATTCATGAGCAAATGTCTCAAGAGAGCAGCTAGCCTGTACTACTAAGACTCGAGTCCCTGTTCGAACACCATGTGCTCAAACAGGACCCCCACAGGACCTCGCTTCTTCGCTTTTCCTTTGAAACCACGCTAGACAAGGCGGATATCCAGCTACTGACAGCGGCCACTCAGGCAAGATTACGTTCCCAGGATGAGGTGATCGTCTTCGAGTGCGACCATTCAGTACGAGACTGGAAGCTTGGTGTTTTCTTTGAATACCTCAGTGTTCCGTGCCAAGCGGCTTCTCGATACTCATGGCAGACGAGTGTGCTGACATACGATACTGCTGTCACATGTCGCATTCAAGTCAGTCAAATGACAAACTGATGGAGTCATTAATAAATCAGCAATCTACCTAGGTACCTATGTGGATTATATGCCACACTGATCTTCAAGCGTCCTTTTTGACAATGCTAACGCAGCATTTGCAGGGCCCTGAATACTACTGAACTTCAAGTTGCAAAGTTCCCTCAATATTGCATTCTTAACAACCAAGGTACTGATGTACTCTGTTTCACCTGGTGCGGCTACACGCCAGTACACCGTAGACCTGTGTACAGCATGTCTACGCTTCAAGCATACCTAGGTACATGTCTACGTGACAACATACAAGAGGAGCAAGAAATCCGATGTGTCATGCATGATTTCATATTAGATTACCGTACCGGCGTACCTACACCTAGCTGGGGCCGGCTGGCATCCGACTTCAATGTGCTTTGATGAGTTCAGAAGGTAGGTAGGTAGGTACCTATTAGGTACGCCATGCACGGAGACACGCACTCGTCATGCCAGACTCCAGGTTCATGGGCCATGCCAGGCAGACTCGTCACTCCGGCGATTCTTACGGTGGTTGCACGCGCGCAAAGCATGATCATGGATTCTGTCCCGTCGATGCATTTCTGTGAACGGTGCAGATGCTTCAAGAGGAACAGGAAGCTCGGCCCAAAGTCGAAAATCTCTTCGTTGAATGCAGTAACGACACCTGGCGTGCTTTCGCCTGCTTCTTGTGACGTACTAGCCCGCAAATCTAGGGATATCATAAGCAAAGGCTGGCGTTATCTAGCAGTGATGAGGCTGCAGCCAAGTCTACCGGTAGCGCCGACGTCTGGCAAAAGCATGTGTCATTCGGCTGCTTCTTGCTAGGTGAAAAGCAGCCGACATGCACTCAATCATCAAATGAGCGGTCGGATGGGATCCGCAGTCATCGGCCTCGTTTCTGATCCTCGTAGGTAGGTAATCTCTGCATGATTTGGGCGGTATGGCGGCTGTCAATGTCATTGCAGTCGGAGCCCGTATGATATCCCCTGACCAGCAGCTTTGCAGGTGGTGATAGATCAGGAATGCTGCAGGATCTCTAGAATTGAGCCAGTGGCAGAAGTTGAGCTCCATTCATTGCCACATTGCATTAGAATCCAATGTAGCAGCGGAAGACAGGGTGGGTGCTTCTGGAGAAGTTCTCTGCAAGTCGCCGGCGCCTTTCGTTTGCACGCGTTGCTTGCGCATTAGTTGCGAACGCCATCGAGGGGCGCTGTCACGTCGACACCACCATCGCATCCTGCGGAGTGCAGTAGAGGGCAGCTCCAGCTCGGCGCATGAGTTGGGATGAGGAGAGATCCATTTCGGTCCTCTTGAAGCGCCAGCTGTCTACGTCGGGATGCTGTTGAAGAAAGCCATTGAATGTAGAAGAAGAGCTTCTGCAGTACCCTAGTGGCCAGAAAATAGAGGCCATGTAAATATCTGCTTCGTCGTAGCAGTGGTGATCTCAGAAGAGAAGACTGGTGGCATGTCAGATCACGCAACACATGCACAAGGGCAAGGCAGTTTGAAAGCAGGCGGCATCTGACCAGCTGTAGTCAACACCAACCTTGCTGGAACAAACCCACATTTCTGGTACTACGAGGAAGCTGCAGTGTTGAACAAAGTAGCCACAGCCTGTTTCAAACTTTTGAACAATGGGGGAGAGCGGGACAGGGCATGGGACGGAAAGACAGCCGCAGTCGCCGTTGTACAGGTACAGAGTGTTGATTGCTGTTAACGATTCGCCTGAGAGCAGAGCGGCTCTAGAATGGGCCACTGAGAACCTCATCCGCGAAGGGGACCAAGTGCTGCTCTACCACTTGGTCAAGACCCCAAAGCTGATCCCAGTAACAAGTAAGGGATCCATCGAAGGCGTTTCTTAGTTGTATCCAACTTGTTGAAACAGCTGTCAAGTCAATGCTGTGGTCAAAAGCATGATGAGTGGCAGTCATGCTAGCTGCTGCGAACAGCTAGGTTGGACATACTCCCTACATGGTATGTTGTCAGAATCTTGCACACCACCCATGGAAGAATCATGAAAGGCTATCAACCACGATAGGCACTTGAAAACTGGCTGCCGCAGATCTGTTCCAAATGCTGACTGTCTGGTCTACCACTTGATCAAGTTGATATTCAATCATTACTCGTGTCGAGAAAATACATCGTCACTGGAGTTGGAGCCCATCCGCACCGACTTCTTGAAAAGCAGACACGGGCGTCTCTAAAAGCTCTTGGTTATTCAACTTTGTGCAGCGGGCATGGTTCCCTATCTGAAGGTGGCGCCAGAGATGCAGAGAGCACACAACGCGGTGGCAGTCCATAATGCGACGTCTCTGCTGCGCAGCTGCCAGCGTTTTTGTATAAGCAAAAAGGTGGGCCTTAAAGCAAAGTGGGGTTTGGTCTCGTGCTAGATACCCTGGGTCTCCTAGTCGGGGCAAGAGCTGTTCGATCAAAACCTGCTTTATTTGCAGCAGGAAATACGCAAGGGCTTTGAAACATAGTCCATGTCTAATTGCAAGCGGCACTCTGTAGATTAGGATACGTACTCCGTTACAAAAAGTACGTCAAACCCCTCCTAGGGGCCTTTGGATTTTTCCAGCCTTACAGTATCGTAACGTGCTTGTCAGTATTATAGGATACTGGATTTGCTTATGCCTTGGTTAAATGAAATGGTTTCAACTTGTATCTCCCCCAAATAAACTAATTTTTCCAGAAGAAGTTAGTAGGGGACCTCCAACCAATAAGACACGCGTGATTCCCAAGAGCTCACATAACACTGCCTTTGCATAAACTTGTTTTTACCCGTGCCACAATCGAGGCTTAGGCGATGCCCCTTGTCCCGGAAGTCCCTTGAGACTTGTCACATCTTGCACAAGCATCGACGTCCTACTGTAGCACCTTTCGAATCTGGTTGCCCGAATGCTTTGCTTTTTCTTTTCGGTTCTGTAGTTAGCGCTGGACAAGTCCTCTCTTGACCTTCCCTTCAGCGTCCCAGTCTCTCTAACCAATCTGCGCAGGCTCTCACCCTCATGATGGTTTCCAATCCCTGAGCTTCGATGCCAGGGGTAGTTGAACCGAGCTCGCCCTGTGCCTACTCTTGTCTGAGTTGGGGAGTACGTTGAGTGTACCGATGAACGCTTTGGTTCTCTTTCAGGTGTTTGCGAAAGTCGAGGTTGGCCGGTGCGACCAGCGGGAGGCGGAGCTGCTGCGCAAGGTGGAGCAGAACGGCATCACGCATCTCGTCATGGGCACCAGCCAACCCGCCAAGTTCAGCCTGCGGTGCGTTCCCGCAGTGGATTCTGACTTGAATTTATTTTGGTTCTCGTGGATTTATCGGCAGCAGCTCGAGAGACTCTGTTGGACCGACCAAAAACCGTCTTTGTCCCTTGCCAAGCAGAAATTTATGTCAGGTGCCAATCTGTGCCAGTGAAGGAGTGTCAAGGCGCTGTTCTCGAATGACGGTGAAACGAATCTTTTCGTAGATCAGCGTTTCGCTTAAGTCCAAAAAGACGAGCCCTAAAAAGCGAGCCTAGGCTGCACGTCCACTTGCTTTGACAAACCTCTGTACACTCCATAGAAATAGCGCGGTTGATACGACGCGTCCTGAACAAACTTCGGAAGGTCCTCGTAAAGATCGCAGAGTTTTATTAAATGCCTCTCTTCCTTTTTCACAGGCCACGAAAGAAGCCCGGTCTGACAGCCCGGATTTGCCAGGCCGCCTCGTGCCATGTCATCCTCGTTGATGAGAAGCAGCGCTCGACATTCCATGCCAAAGTGGCGATGATCCAACTGGGCGGGCCTCGCTTCGGAAACAAAGAAAGCCCGACAGCTGGCAAGGAGAGGCGAGAGTCCCAGGACATTCCGTCGGAGATAGTTCCGGCGGAGGCGGTCGTGCCAGCATCTGACGCTGGAGCACTCTCTTTTCAGTGAGTTGGTTGACCTTCAGGCGGCTTGCCAAGCTCTTAAACCGACCGGAGCAGCGTGTCAAGCTCCTGACAGACCGGAGCATCGGCAATCTTGAGGTCTCTCGGTGCGGACAAGTCACTCGTTGACGTTGCGTGGACCTTTGACAAATTTCCTCGAAATTGAGGATCTGAGGCCTTCCTTCAGGAAACGGCTTGAGCGTTTGCCAATTCTGCTCGATTCTGCTCCAGAGAAACGGGGTGAACGCTTTGATTAGGGTTAACAGTACTTCTTACATAGCTCTCACCAGGTCTGTTGTCAATTTCAAGCTCCGATGTAAAGGGTAAAGTTGCAGGTGTGGAACATTCTTGACCCCCTGATGACGGGAGCCGATTCGACACGTGGCAGGATTTGAATCGCTCACGCATTGTGAGCAGTCAGCGAAAAACGACCAACAAAGTCCAAGCTGCAACCGGTCAATTTCACCAGCACCTCAAGGGTGGATGTCAGCAAAATTGACCCCAGTTATCGTGCTCGTTATTCAGGCACTTCGACGCCGAGGAGTCTCTGCGGAGGGCGACCAGCGCCGATTCTTTCAAAACGGCGCCCGTCGAACCCGCTTCGTCAGCCTCGTCAGCCAGCAGCCGCTCCCTATCCGAAGCGGCCGACGAAGCTTTGGGAGCTGACGTCAGCAGGCCGGCCCTTCGGGACACTCCTCGGACGATCTCCCAGGATCTGGACCTCTTCTCGCTCCCTGATACGAACGAGTATTTGGACGAGAAAGCGTCCCCAAAGCGCCCGGCAGTTACGGGACTTTTCTACGGAGGCCGCCTGACAGATGTCGGGGAATCGGAGGGCGATTCCCCACGCAGAGAAGGGGCAAGCACGGCTGGAGGGGATGTGCAACCGGGGTTTGGGGTCCAGCAACCGGTTCAATCCGCCAGTCCCTCAATTCGACAAAGCAGCGCAAAATCAGCAGCTGGTTCCGTGCAAACGCAGCCCTTCCATTCGAGTTTGGTTGCAAAGGACGGGTTTCGTGATCGTAGGCGAAAGTCACGTCTGGCCGGCAGAAAAGAAGAAGCCCCCCTCTTCCCCGTCTCTGAGCCCGACTCGCCCACGTTTGTCGGGGATTTGCCGCAGACGCCCACAAGTATCGGCGACCCCGCCGAGACCGCAAGCCGCCAGTCGTCCGAATCTCTGAACAGCCCGGCAAGTCAGGCCTTGACACGTGGCGCCTGTACGCCGCAAGGGTCTGCGCCGTCCCTGGTAAGACACGTGGCACAACAGGAGGCGTTGATCGCGGAGCTGCGGCAACAGGTGACGCTGCTGAAAGAGATCAACGAGCTGCGGGACTGGGAGCTGGGGCACATTGCCGGGCAGGCCGAGCAACTAGAGAGGTGAGATATGCAGGCGGTGCGGTGAGGAAAGACGACGAGCGGGCAATCCTGACCAACGTTAGACAAAGGTGTTCGAACTGCTCCTTGGCAAAACTTTGCCAGTAAAGCGTCCCGTGTTCTCAGCGGGCAGCGGCGCACAAGTCCGGTTACGAAAAAATTCTCACAGAAGTTGACGGCTAGGTATGTTTCTTGAAAAGTTGTGGGTGACACGAAACGGCGAAAGTCCAATGTCTCAGAATCGGTCGCTTTTGCACCAGCGGATCGCCAGGATCGATTCTCGCTGGCTCACTGACTTACGGACTCGCTGGCTTACTGAAGCTTTGATTGAAATGATTCCGGAGGCCTTGCTTTCGGTCAGCCTCGAGACTGCTTCTGCGTAGCTGTTCCACTAGTCCCTAACTTCCGATCTTGTTTTGGATCCAAAGACTTAGAGGTAACGCAGGGTACTTTCGTTCTGCAGGGCGTTCCTGACAGAGAAGCGCAAGCGCGAGGAGGCGGAGCGGCGGGTGAAGCAGCTCGTGATGGAGGTAGCCGCGCTCAAGCCGTGGCCATCCGCGAGGATGTTCAAGCCGTGGTGAGGGATCCCTTCAGACCCCGGTGCACCACGTTAAGCACATTCTTTCGCAAAATTTTCATCAAACACTAAGTCCGGTTCTTAAGCGGAATTAGAGCAGTAAATTGACTGTAGGAATCGAGGCGCTGTCGCTCGAAACAGCGTTCAATCTTTATCCAACGGCTCGGAGTGCCGGAACGGGTACATCCGCCTTTCTCGATTCTGTAGGCTGGTGTTTTTGTTCGCCTTCATCCAGACCTGTTGCTGTCACGTACGGATTGCGTTCCAAGCCGTTGCCTGTGGATGCTCGCTTGTGCCTCGATTGTTGATAGCATTGTAGACAACGCTGGCAGCCTAGAGGCGCCTGAAGCTCGAGAATAGCGAAGTGCAAGGCATTTTCTTCTTCTTCCGCAGACTGAAGTTGCAGGCCACCCTGTATGTACACAAAGTGAGAAGCCAACACTTTGAATGGCGTCACAGTGCAGCCGGGATTGAACGAGAAGTAGATTCGGAAGCTTTCGCGGAGACAGTCGCTTTTAAGAGTAGGAGACAAATTCGAGAACAAGTAGGGAAGTAGTACGCACGCAGCTGACGGTTCAGTATTCATCGATCTCCGTCGAATAAACGTAAGAGCTTAGGTATGTCCATGTAGCTTAGTAGACCGGATATTGTATAGGGCTAGGGACGGCTATATTGGCGGGTCCAATGCTTGAATTAAATCGCGGCTTCGACAGATAAGCGGCTATTAGAGTAGAGTAGAATCTGTGTCTGCATAAAAGTGCGTATGTAAGGCATCTCAGGAAGTGCGTACAATTTTGATCAGAGTATTGCTGCAAAATTGTAGATCGACAATGAAAATAATAGTGCAAATAGTTTCAAAAGTCCAGCCACCGTTCGTCTTAGAAAGGTTGCGTGGAATCGCTTCTATGGTTAAAAGAGCCGTCTCGAAAAGTCGGCAGTGCTTATGACTCCTGACTTTCTTTTCTCCATTCTGGCTCAATCCAGCGTGCACCTTTTTGCAATACTCTAAATGGCAGCATAACTCATGATTCATCATGACACATGCGTAATAATGAGTCAAAATTAGCACATGCACATGACTCATGAATTCATTGGCGTATACAAGGACAAGCATATGAGCCACAGAAGCTCGTCCTTCATGCAGACGCCTAATACGTTTTATGCTAAACCTGATCCTCGCGCCAATCATATCTCCAGCGTACCTATCTTCAATGGCCAGGCATTACACTATCAAGACCCTGCAAGTTACAATGGTCACTTCTTGTTATAAACCCTGCAGATTACAATTACACAGGTGCTCTGATTTGTGATGATTAACCTCTCCGGCCAATGTCCAGATTTGCGTTGCACGAGTGCACAATTGACCGTCGGCCCGTATGAATAGCATCTCAACTTGAACCGCCCTGCCACGCGCGCAGGACTGGCCGCGGCCGCAGGTTGCTGACACCTGCGGGCCGCAATGATTACTCCAGGTGCCAGGTACCGGTACCGGTTACTACCCACAGAGTAGGTATAGGTGCTGAAGTTTACGTGCGGTACGTACCGGCCAGGGTGTAGCATGCCATCTCGAGCGGAACCATTGGCAATGCACCAGGACTCGGAGCCTGCATGCGGCCCACTCCAACATTCAAGCTCCATGGCACCCAGAAAGCGGACGCAGCAGTGCCTACTAGATGAGCATAGGTGCTTGCACCTCCATGGCACCAATGGCAAAGGCACCTCTGACAGCCCTTTGTCTGATTTGTAGCGGACACCGTATGCCTCTGAGACTGTGAAGAAGATCAATCTGCTGCAGTAGATCATTGGGCGACTCATCTGGTAGTTATAAGGGGGGGGCTTTGCCACAATGCTGCATTAGGTTGCCACTTGCGCTGCGACAACCTTGAGCTCTGCTATAGATCCGTTCAGTAAAGTAGCCTTCAAGCGCAGTTGGTCGGAGATGGCTTCCGGCGCTTTGGTTGCAGTGGGGTGCGTCCTGGTGGTGCTCTCTGGCATTGCCCTGAGCTTCCAGACTGGTGTGAATTCTTCTTTGGGCAGAGTCTCTGGCAAGTCGTTTGCCAGTGTGGTGTCGTTCACAGTGGGGTTGGTGGCGCTGCTCATCTTCTTTGTCATTGACACATACGCGATTGGGGCAAAAGGCCCCACAGCAGGGAGGATAAAAGGTGAGCGCTTGGTTTGCAAATTGTGGAATCAATATTTGCTTCCAGTATCATAGTCTTTGCTAATCAATCAGCTTTGTGCGCACCACCCAGCCATCATAAGCGCCGCAAGAGACTGTGATTCATAGCTCAAAGACCGGCAACGATCGTCCGGGCTTCAACGCTGATACCAAGGAAAGCGTTTTGACTGTGGCTGGAGCAAGTACGGTCACAATGACTCAAATCTGACTCAATGAGGATGTAATGTCATCAACCAGAGTTTTGGAGACGCAGAAGCATGCCGCAGTAGATCTTGGTTTCAAACAAAAGGCTTCTGGTGGCTCCATGCTGCCTTCAAGCATTTCATGGGTACTCCTCTTCGCTCCCCAAAAGGCAGGGTGGGGAACAGGTTGTGAAGTTCAGAGTCCAACTTCAGCTGGAGAGAAGGCTGGGTGCAGTATCTAAGTGTACCTTAATGTGGGAAAAAGCACTATACTTGAAGCTTTTCCTTTTCAAGCGCAAAATCTCGGTTCTTCCTTACATACTGACGGTTGTGCATTCAAACCGATGGTGCCTTGTACTTGTCCTGCGCATACTCTGTACTCTGTCCCCATGGAGTAAGATGGCCGGCCTCTTGTTGTGGACGCAGGCGGTATGCTTGTCATTTTGAATACTCACAATGTGCCATCTCCCTTGCAGCGGTGCCTTGGTGGGGTTGGCTGGGGGGCCTCCTCGGCGCTTTCTATGTTGTGTGCACTATCTTCTTTGCGCAGATCTTGGGCGCTGGAGTCCTCACTTCCATCTTTGTCACGAGCCAGCTCATTACGTCTATTTTGCTTGATTACTATGGAATAGTTGGTTTCGAGAAGAGGAAGCTGAGGTGGGAAAGGATACTGGGGGCGTGCTTTCTTGTTGTCGGTGTGCTGTTGATCTCGTTGTTTCGTGGGGACCTTCAAGAGGTTACGCCGAGCGGGGTACCAGATGCGTCAAATGGGCCCGAAAGCCCGGCGCCAAGCGGCTATCCGGGGCCGGCAGGCAAAGTGTCGATCGACATGTCAGGAGCTTACCTGCAGAGACGGACACCTCCAACCAGTAATATTGAGTTGCAAGATCCTGGCGTCGGAGGTTAGTTAGCAGGTAATGATATTGATTCTAGCTTTGCACGCGCGCGCCTGCTTCGATTGGCAAGCTTTTATTCATTCTTTCGGTGCTAGATTTTCATTCGCCCTTCCGCCTCTTCCCTTAAGTCCAAAGCTGCACTATCTGAATACCAACTGCATCCAGGTGCAAACCATCATGTGTTATAGTCCGACATTGAGTAGGTGTGATCCGTTTGTCACCACGTCGTTGGAAGGCAACATGCAGAATCTCATGTTAAATGAATCGTATGTACAAAAGTTCGAATTTCATCTTGATGATTCAATCAACGGCCAGAACTTCATTACCCACCGGCTCAATGATGTTCTCAATGTTGCTGATGGCAACTTACATGCACGGAACATGTTCGGCAGTACCGACCCGGTAGTACGTACGCGCCATCTTAATTATCTCTCATACATATGGCTCATGTGCTTGCTTACGCCGCCACCGTATATCATATATGTGCACGTATATGCGTCCCCGGGCACGTG